GCCCGCGCCGCGCCCCAGCCCCTTGCCTCTCAGGAGAAGCCCCTTGGCTCGGGGCTCCGGCGGCTGAGAGGGCTCTCCTGAGGCAGGGCCTCTTGCTGGGCAGAGCCCCCCGGGGAGGCTCACCGGGCCCGCAGAAGAGGAGGCCAGAGGTGGTCTGTTCATTACCTCCCTTGCTCCTCCGCCCCTCTGCCTTAATTTCCAGAGATCTGTGGTCCAGTCGTGCTGCAGTACTGATTTTGTCGGGTAGCGATGCAGCTGTTGGCCAAAAGTCAGGCTTGATGCATCCACCTGAGTTGCTGTTGGCGCCAGCGTTGACTAGGTGTCTTCCTATTCATTGTGGGAATAGGAGATCATAAATGTGGTGTTTCGACTGGTTGGTTGTAAAAGCGAGAAGAGGAGTTCGAATGAGACAATGGTGTTTCAGGTGCATTGTTAAGAAAATGCTGATAGCACTGTAGGTACCATGTGAAGCTCCATCACGTAAATGTAATGCGCATAAAATTATGGGATGATTTCTAGGGGTCACAGTCATACTTTTGGTAAATCTAAGTTTTACAGTTGTAGAATAGGAAACTGAATTGTAGGCACGTCACTGTTTCATAACGCATGGAAGCAATGAGGAGGATATGACAAGTTAATGCAGGGATGGTGGGCTGGAATGACAAATAGACTCACAGAATCATCTAGGTTGGAAAGGACCCTTAAGATCATTGAGTCCAACCATCAACCTAATACTGCCAAAACCACCACTAAACCATGTCCCTCAGCACCACGTCTGCCCATCTTTTAAATACCTCCAGGGATGGCGATTCCACCACTTCCTGGGGCAGCCTGTGCCAATGTTTGATAACCCTTTCTGTGAAGGTATGTGTCCGTTTTAACCAGTGAGTAGTTGTTACTTTCTCAGGTTTTTCTTTCCTTCAATTAAAACTAAATATAGCAGCATTATGCAATCTAGGGTCTCATTGCCACCTTCAATGAAGACAAAGGCTGCAGAAACATAAAAATGTTAGTGCACATGGGCCTTCCCTGCCAGAGCTGTGCTTTTCTGCTTTCCTCTTAGCTGTTGGGTGCTGCCTGCCAAAGGAACTTGTGGCAGTTTGATAATGCTTCTAGCTGGAAACCACGTGGGTTGCTGTACAGACTTAGGTTTTGGTTTGCTTGAACCGATAACAAATATTGTTCAAAGGCTTACACTACGTTCAGGAATATCTGCAGCTAGGCTTGTGGTTGTTTGCATAGTGCTTCTGTGATCAAATATAATCACTAATTATATTTGAAACTCCACTCGTACCTCCTTTAGCTTCCCTTTTTCAATATTACTTAGAATATCAGCCTGTCTTTTTCTTCTGTTTTATTCTGTTTGTCTTACTAGGTTGTTTTTGTTCTTGTTCCAGTGATGCACTGTACACCTGGAAAAAGTCAGTTTCATAAAAAACCTTTCAGTGCTTCCCAGCGTTTAAAAAGCAGTTCTTTGTCAAGGCCAAGATATGCTTGCCTTAAACAAGTGGAACAGTCTCACTGTGGTATTGTCACCACTGCTTTTCATTAAGCCTCCAGTTGAGTAGCTTCAGAAAGTTCTTAAAATCTATCGAGTTTGTAGTTCCCAACAGAATCGTGTGAATCATGAATTTCTGACCTGCTCAGAAAAAAAAAAAAGTGGTTGCCTAAAATCGAACTTAATAGATTATTATTTTTGATTACAACTAGTTCATCTACCGTAGAAAGCTTAATCAGAAGAGTGTGTTATCCTTAAAGTTTTTGCTTTTGCACAAAAATTGCTCAACCCCCTTCACCCAATGATTAAAGTTAGACTTGTATTTTTTGTCTATCTTACCAGTTAAAAAAACATTTAAAACTAGCAATCTTAAGACTATGCTGTTCAAATGACACTACTGAAATCTTAAGCTAGCACCATCAAAATGGGAATATCTTGTGTTTTAGGATCTGCATTAGATTTTGCAAATCTGTAAATATTTCTTGTATAAGTTTCATGGTCTAAATTCCCAGCAAGAATAATTCTGGGTAATATTGTACCTTAAGTTACAGAGAAGAAAACTTTCAAAATATTCTATATAAATTAGTGTTTCTTTCTTTAATGTAGTGCCTATGACTGTGTGATACCACCCATGGAAAAGGCAGTAGTGAAAACAGACATTCAAATTGCACTTCCTTCTGGATGCTATGGCCGTGTAGGTAAGTAAACAGACTATAAAAAGGCTGCAGAGTCATTGTAGAACAGGTTTGATGCCATCTTCACATTTGATTATGCCTAAAGCTTTCAGAATTAGTCTACACAAAAAAAGGTCTCACGTGGCTGTGTGATTTCTTAAGACTTGTAATAGATGTTTCTTGTCTAAAAATAAATTTGAGGTTTGGCGTATGTCAAATGACAAAAAGACGATAAGCAAAACTTTTCGTAATCTACATACAACGTTATAGGCTATGAAATAGTTCATTATTTCTCTGCGGTTTCAGAATGTGAATCAGAAAGACCAACAGGTAATGGACATACAGAAAATACTCCCCTGGATGTTTAAAAATTAACCCTGAAGTAAGAGTACTAGTGTAGTAGAATTTGACTACTTTTTGTGACAGAATACTTGAGAGAACCCGTATAAAATATTTTGTTATGTTTTACACATTCTTTTTCTGAATTATGTATAAAATCTTAAAGTAAAAAAAAAGCAATAGCCACTCCAGTGGAAGAGCATGGTCAGAGTTCACCATGTCCTTTTATCTAAAAGGAGAATGCACGTGCATTTCTCTTATCCCAGACAAAGAAAGTTTTTAAGAGATCTAAATTGCTTGCCAAATATTGTTTTCCACTGTAACTTGAATGGATTGACCTTTTGAGATGATTCCAAACCAGCGGTAGCTGCCAAAAGTAAACCAAGATTATACTTGTCGTCGGCTCCAGCTGCCTTCCTTGGATAAACCTTCTCTGCAATTGCTGGCCTAAACAAAGATATGCTTATATCACTTAAAGATTGATTTTATTGTAGCCTCTAGCAGCTGTTATTTTGTTTAATATATACATTAACACTTACAGTAGTTCCTGTAAAATCATGTTTATTTCAGAAAGACTGTGGAAACAGTTCTTGCTGCCACGACTCTGTGCAAACACTTTATCTAACCTATAAATATTGTGTAAGAGTTTTAAAAGCAATAAATTATTATACTTACAAAAAAAATCTTGTTTTCTAGCACCACGTTCTGGTTTAGCTGCAAAGCACTTCATAGATGTTGGTGGTAAGATTTTTTTTCTTTTTAATAAGACTTAGTAAATCTTGATTGCAGAATTGCCTTAATTTCACATTGTAGTATGTGTAAATAAATAATGCTAGCTTCATTTGTAGTCTGGCAAAAGGAGATAACTGGGAAATACCTCAGAGAGCCAGCATATCGTAATTATTTTAAAACCTGCTGAATTATAAAAATATTACGGATTTTTAAAAAATAATAACCGTATCATACTTTTGTAGGCAAAGTCTGGCATAGGTGTTACTTTTTGGTTTAGGCTTTAAAGATAACTTTTTACATTCTACTTTCTCTGTTTTGACTAAACATCTATGTGTGATTCTTTTCAGTCTACTGCAAGATCTGAATGAATTAATAACATACAGATACTCTTTTATGCAGAGAGTATATAGTAATGATATTCAAAAGGAATGATAGAAAGCACTGGAATACACCTTTACTGTGGGTAATATTGATTATTAGGATGAAAAGAGCTTTAGTTTCCTCTTAGTGATGAAACTAACAAATTATGTAAAGCAAATGAAATTTAAACTCGTAACTTGGTATATTAATTAACTTAAAAATTGAAAGTCTTTTGAAACAGAAAGAAAACTAAAATCCCACTTTGTACAAATCTTTCCAGGTTTTTTTTTTTTTATTCAGTACTAGCAACAGATTTGTTTTGAACAACAGGATGGGTTTTTTTTTTTTGTTTTAAAGTATTTTGGAGCTTTTCCTTCAATCTTGATTAGAAATTCACAGGTGCCTCTCCAAAAACAATTATAGGCATATCTATAATCAGAAGCCTTCATGAAAGCCTCACTGTCCCTTTGCCATATCCCTATAACTGCAACATGAAGTAAATGATGTTGAAAGTTCAATTCCAGTTTTGCTATGGGGCTGATCAGAGCACAGCCAGATTCTCTAGGTATTGTATTATAAAATGGAATCTACATTGCACAGAAGGTCTCGCCACTAAGATTATTGTGGAGTTATTCTGAGCACAGCTGTAATCACAAAAATTTAACTAGCACTAAATGTGTATTATGTTGTTCTAATTGTACAAGAATACAGTTCTAAGTTAAATGAAATGTTTTCTGCCTGCTAAAGCCCTAAGCAATTGGTTTTTCTGGCAAGAGAGTATAGTAAAAGTACCAAAAATTACATTTCTGATGTAATGACATAGAGAAGATACACCTAATGGGTATCTTCAAAAGTGCTGGGTGGATGAGAGAGCACATTTTTTGCAAGCATGTTGTAATTTGAGCTGTAATGGAAGTTGACAAGAAAAGTATGCTGAAGAGACCTTTTCCTCTTCTCTAAGTTTTTGGTTGGTTGGGGTTTTTTGGGGGGGTGGGGTGTTGTTGGTTTGCTGTTTGGTTGGGGTTTTTTTCCCCCCAGGTTTAAACAAGAGAGACTACTTTGAACAGTGGTACTCAGTCCTTACTTGCTCAGAGGGTTGGCTGCAGAGGTGAGGAAGGGTGACTCTAGGCATCCTTCTCTTTCTGATGCCAGGCCAGCCAAAAAGCAAAGCAATTCCCAGTATAATTTAGAGCTGTTGCAGAACTACTTTATTCTGTTTGCCTTATGGCATATCAAAGTCTGTCTGTGCCTGTGATACAATTCTGATATCAGAAGTTAAAGGAGAGCATCTGTGCCAGCTTTGAGTCATTCAGGCTTTGTCTTAAATAAGAATTGATCCTTGCATGTCTGTTACACTAAGGTTTTTTAAATGTTGCTGGGTAACATACAAAAGAGCACTCAGATGGGAATCAAAGATTCTCCACACCCCTGTGACTCTCTAATATACATGGTCTACTATAGTGTGGTTCTTTAAAGCGGTGCTTCTAAATCAGTTTTTTTGTTTAAATGAAAAAACAGATATGCTCTGTAACAGTCTTTTCAGTCTGAAAGTTAAACTAGGAAATACCAGATGGCAACCAGAAGTGCTTAACAGGATGTTCAGATTTATAAAAGCTGACAGTTGACAAACCATGAGTAAAAATTATTACTGACAGTTACTAGAGGACTTCTAAAAAAAAAAAAAAAAAGAGCCAAAACAAACCCAAAACAATTTTTACATAATTTTAACTTGTCCTGCAGAAGTCCTTTTGTCACAACAATGAGGGCATTATCAGTTTAAGTAAAAATACATTGCCAGCAGTCCTAAGGGTCAGGGAGAAAAATTGGGATCATGCAAGAATATGTTCAGAATTCACATCTGCTAGGTGTGGATGCTTTCCGAACAAGTGACATGCCAAACTTGTAACAGAGTAAGACAGAATGTCAGACTGCCAATTCCAATGCATGATTTTTCCAAAAATTACTTAGGTGATTTCAACCCAATACACATAATTTAGAAAAACGCCTTAGTGCTCAGCAATGTGTATAATTATTGCAACTTGCTGTTCTGGAGTAACAGAATGCCAAGCATGTTTTGCGAGTACGCCCAGTGACATAGAGTGAATTTGTGACCCTATACAGAAGGAATACTGATCAGGCCTTCCTGGATATATTTCCCTGTATCTTACAAGGATTATATATTCTTTGATACAAATAGTGTAATTTGAACTAAAAATCCAGACAGTGGTTAAACTCAGTAAGACTATGTCAGTGGAGGTATAATACATTTAATGAGAAAATGATTGGTAGGGAATTCATTCCACAAAATCTTGACCCAGCTGTGCCTTTAATGGAATTTGAAATTATCATGGCTTTGACAGTGTTTCAGTCACTCAGCACAGCATTAGACTAATCGTTTTGGGCCACAAAACATATTTTTAAAGGTTATTTTCTTAATACAAAACTTCAACTCTAATTGCAAATTCTGTTTGCATTGGGAATGCTTTTAAGGAAGAAGCCTTCTCTTCCTCTCTGCATCCTCTGGAAAGCTTTCATCCTCAGAAGTGTGCAGGAAGTGCAATTCTTGCCTGGTAGAAAATACATCTGATACAATCTGTAGAAACATTACAAGGTGTCTACTTTATAGCTAAGCTTAGAAAATTAGAGGGTTTTTTTCCCCTCTAGTGAATAATACAAGTGACTTAAGTTTCTAGTGTTGCTGACTTCAGTTCAGCCACAGAAATTTCATCAGTCTTTTCCACGTTTAGTTATCGGACAGTTTTCAAATCCTAGAGCGCTAGTCTCTAGCAGCAGTCAAATAGGTGGTGAAAAGAATTTGGTGTCTTTTCATAGAAGTATCTGTTTAGGTGACAGTCTTTACAACAAATACTTTTAAAATAAATTTTAGTGTCTATATATAAAGCTGAGATTTTGCTAAAGCCATTGTTTAAAGGTCAGGGAAGCGATCTGACTAGATTCGTTTTAAATCAATATAGATCCATTATAATACTCCTTTTCAGAAAAAAAAAAAAAAGGTTTAGGGTTTAAAATGGGGTAGAAGTACTAAGATGCCATTGAGCTCCAGTTACTCCAATACAAGCTAAGTTTTAGATACTCTTTTTTTTTTTTTTCCCCTCTCCCAGAAAATAGCAGCAAGGTCTGGTAGATCAAAAACTTCATTAGCAGTTAAGCGCTAAACAATACATCAAGTACAATTTTTGTCATTAGGTAGAAGTAAACTTGCTTTCTGTCAGAGATGTGAAGGCAGAAAAGTTAATTTAGAATGACTTTTAAGTAGCCCCAGTTGTTCTGTTCTACAAACTTTCTTGAGATAATTCCATCAAGAACATGACATTCAAGAGTTTCTTGCATGTATAAATCTAACCATATTACTTGAATTGTTACATTTTATATATATAAAACATAATCTCCATTTAAATAGAATTAGTAATCTGTTTTGAGTATTGTGTTATATCAGAGCAGAATACTTTATTATAACAGAAATAAAACTAGGCCTTGTTATGTTAAATTAGCAAATTCCAATATCAATCTCTAATGCATAGCAATGTCTGTCCCAGCATATGGTCTAGAAGAATGTTGTCTTAGCTGTACAGAAACACTTGAGAATGGTTTGTCAAATTAAGAACTTATCCAAAGAGCTAACGATCTTTTTATATGCATTTATCAACATATGTACATAATTTTATGTGCCAAATATGAATTCTGGCTTTCAGCTCTCCAGCTGATTGACTCATGTGAACAAATACACCAAATTAACGGGCAGCTGACTGCAGAACATGAGTGATGCTTAAAATTATTTGTGCTGCCATTACAAGTTTGTTGAATCTCTCTTTGTAATGCATCTAATGTAGCATGGACTCAGTGTCTGCTATTGTATAAAACAAAGCAAATTATTTCATAGAATCGTAGATTAATTTTCATTGGTAGGGACCTTTAAAGGTCGTCTAGTCTAATCCCCCTGCAATGAGCAGGGATATCTTCAACTAGATCAGGTTTCTCAGAGCCCCATCCAACCTGACCTTGAATGCTTCCAGGGATGAGGCATCTACCACCTCTCTGGGAAACCCGGGCCAGTGTTTCACCAACCTCAGTGTAAAAAATTTCTCCCTTACATCTAATCTAAATCTACCCTCTTAGTTTAAAACTGTTACCCCTTGTCCTATTGCAACAGGCCCTGCTAAAAAGTTTGTCCCCATCTTTCTTGTAAGGCCCCGTTAAGTACTGAAAGGCCACAATAAGGTCTCCCCAGAGCCTTCTCTTCTCCAGACTGAACAACCCCAACTCTCTCAGCCTGTCCTCATAGGAGAGGTGCTCCAGCCCTCTTGACCATTTCTGTGGCCCTCCTCTAGACCTGCTCCAACAAGTTCATGTCTTTTCTGTGCTGAGGGCTCCAGAGGTGGACACAGGACTCCAGGTGGGGTCTCACTAGAGCAGCATAGAGGGGCAGAATCACCTCCCTTGAGCTGCTAGCCACGCTACTTTTGATGCAGCCCAGGACAGGGTTTGCCTTCTGGGCTGCAAGCACATTGTCGGCTCAAGTCCAGCTTTTCATCCACCAGTACCCCCAAGTCCTTCTCAGCAGGGTTGCTCTCAATCCCTTCATCCCCCAGCCTGTATTGATACTGAGGGTTGCCCCAACCCAGGCACAAGACACTGCACTTGACCTTGTTGAACCTCATGAGTTTCACACAGGCCCGCTTCTTCTGCTTGTCCAGGTCACTCTGATGGCATCCCATCCCTCAGGCATATGAGCTGCACCGCTCAGCCTGGTGTCGTTGGCAAACTTCCTGAGGGTTGCACTCAATCCCACTGTCTGTGTCACTGATGAAGATATTAAACAGCACTGGTCCCAGTATGGACCCCTGAGGAAAACCACTTGTCTCCAATCTCTATCTGGACGTTGAACTGTTGACCACTACCCTCTGGATGTGACCATCCAAGGAATTTGTCATCCACCGAACAGTCCACCCATCAAATCCATCTCTCTCCAATTTAGAGAGGAAGATGTTGTGGGAGACTATGTCAAAGGCCCTACAGAAGTCCAGACAGATGACAGCTGTAGCTCCTCCCTTGTCCACTGGTGTAGTCACTCCACCACAGAAGGCCTCTAGGTTGGTCAGGCAGGACTTGCCCTTGGTGAAGCCATGCTGGCTGTGTCAAATCCCCTCCCTGTCCTCCATGTGCCTTAGCATAACTTCTAGGAGGATCTGTTCCATGATCTTCCCAGGCACAGAGGTGAGGCTGACAGGTCAGTAGTTCCCAGGGTCCTCCTTTCTACCCTTTCTAAAAATGGGTGCAATGTTTCCCTTTTTCCAGTCACCAGGGACTTCACCTGACTGCCACGACTTTTCAAACATCATGGAGAGTGGCTTGGCAACTACATCAGCCAGTTCCTCAGGACTCTGGGATGCATCTTGTCAGGTCCCATAGACTTCTGTATGTTCACATTCCACAGGTGGTCACAAATATGGTCTTCTGTTGTAGTGGGAGGGCCTTTGCTCCCCCAGTCCCTGCCTTGCAGTCCATCCACTGGAGAGGTGTGGGTTGTCAATGAAGACCGAAGCAAAAAAGTTGAGAACCTCAGCCTTTTCCTCATCCATTGTTACCAGTTTCCCAGTCTTGCTCATCTGGGGTGTGTGGGGGGGCAGTATACTTTCTTTGACCTTCCTTTTCTGGCTGACATACCTGTAGAAGCCCTTCTTATTATTCTTTGTGTCCCTTGCCCAGTTCAGATCCAGCCGTGCCTTGGCCTTCCTGACCCAATCTCTACACAACCAGGCAGTGTCCCTATATTCTTCCCAGGATACCCGTCACTGCTTTCCCTGACTGTGCCACGTAACTATTTGTGTAGCACTCTTTGTGTCATCCCTGGTTTAGCAAATATGTAAAGGCTCTGTATTATCTGATATTTTAAAAAGGAGGAAGGAATAGTATTTTGCTAGAAGGAGGCAAAATTTCCATGTTATCATTTTATAATTCAGCCTTTTTTGCTTATACACTTGCCATGTGTGCATAGGATTTGATCTTTAATATTTTAAGTATTGAATTGCAACATCGAACTGTGGTAGAAATAGTGCAAGCAATCTCTGGGATCACCAATATAAGTGATGTACTATGATTCTCAATTTAACTTATGCATAGCTGACTTTCTGAAGGCTGGCCTAGCCTAAACCAAATAAACAGTACAGGACTTGTGCGTGTAGCTTTGGTACATCAAGCTCTCTGAATCAACTGAAATGAACGCTCCATCTGAGAGAGGGAAACCCCAAGGAAGCAGAATATGATTATTTCAATGTGTATTGGTAGATAATCTCCTGAACTATGTAGTTAATACAGTTACATAAAAGAGCAAGCTTGTTTTACAGTATTTACACCTGAGTGTAGCTGAAAGACAACCATCAGTTCCTTAAAGCTTTAGTGCTGGTACCCTGCCTGAGAGATGGGATTTGGATCTGTGCAAATCCATAGCTCTCAAATAAGATGTTAGAGTTAAGAACAGATTTCTGCTTGACACTCAAAGAGGTGAAAGTTAGCAGAACAAATGGAGCCTGAATTTGGTACAGCTGTCTTGATTTCAGATGGGGTATTACAACTAAAATTAGTAGTACAGTGGTAAAACACTTCTTGACATGTGATGGTGTTTTTCAGTTCTTTTTCCAAGATTGATTAGCATTTTTAGATATTTCAGTATTTTCATATATATTATTTAATTATGCATGATTAGCATAAAGGATGTCTGTATGAGCTACTGCAATCATCTACTAATCTAAACCAGCATTATCTAATACACTGGCAACATTTATTAACTGGATATCCCTCTTAATTCTTTCTTATGACAGCTGGTGTTATTGATGAGGATTACAGGGGAAATGTTGGTGTGGTACTCTTCAACTTTGGCAAGGAGACTTTTGAAGGTAAGTGTTAATCTTGGCAGAGCCTTTTTTCAGTCATCTGACTGGAAATATGAAACTAATTTTTCTTTAAAAGTCAATGAAGAGAACATTTTTTGTGTTACAGTTAATGAAAACATGGAAACTTAACAATATCCTCTCAAGAAAGCACAAAAAGATTCCACTCCTAGAAAATTAGGCAGCATGCAAAAAAAAAAAAAGCTCAACAAAAAAACAACCAACCAAAAATCACACTGGCACACCAAAACAAGCAAAAAACCCCTGCTTAGCTAAGCTTTAGATTCATGAGCCGAAGTGCAACTTTGTATTAAGTTTCTTTCTTGTTCTGCAAAAAAAACCCAAAACAAAACCAAACCAAATGCCAGAAAAGATATAGCTGAGCCGTATTTGAGCTAAAACTTCTCCAGGACCCTGGGAAACATGAGTCAGAGAGATACAGTTTTCCCTTAATCGTGATGTCTCTCTGCAAACCATCAGTTTTATGTGTCAGGCCCAGTTACAATATTGCCAGTGTTGTCGCAGCATTTTCTGGAACTGCACAGCACTTTGGTACGAACATTCTGTGAAACAGATTGGGTACTCATGAGAAATTTTGTTTTCTTTTTAGCAGTTCAGGGTTTTTTCCTCCCAGAGAAATCAGTTCCTGGGTCTAGTTCACAAAAGGAGCCACATTATACATACAGCTGTCTCTCCATCTCTGCACTATTTATGCATAATGACACTGATAATGGCACAGTATGGCAGCAGGATGAGGGGAGATGCCTTGAGCTGGTACTGCTGCTGAAACTTCACCGTAAAAGGACTAAGCACAAGTTTAGCTCCTATTTTTCTGGGACTACTAACATCTGCTTAACTAAGTTTCAAAGAAGTGTTTACACTTCAGTACATTCTGAGATTCTAGAAAGGGGACTGTCTAAACTTTGTATTGATTGTTCACTTTCTTGAAAGAACTAATAATGTTTTGACTTCATTGCAGTGAAAAAAGGGGATAGGATTGCCCAGCTCATCTGTGAACGCATTTGCTATCCTGAGCTAGAAGAAGTTCAAGTAAGTTGCCAAAAGAAAGTATTTCTTCTATTTTCAATAATTAACAGTTTAAGATAGTTGTATATAAGCTGAAATTTATGATATAGATAAATACTTTGCTTTATAACTACTTTCAGTCTTAAAACTGCACAGTAGCATTGCTAACTGAATAAAAATCTTGGATGCCTTGCATGCATTTACGTGGATTTTTTTTTTAATTTTTTTTTTTTTAGTTTTCAGAGTTAACAGGTACTTAAGAAACACTTCAGTATATACTGGAAACAGGTGTCTCACAATGTGGGATTTGTTTAAACTTGTACAAAACATTCTAAAATGTCTCTTAAAATTTTGTTTAGTTTTTCAGTTATAGCTATTGTTACAAGTAAATGTACCTTCCTCTGATAGACAACATCTGTTGTATAGAAACAAAAGGCAAGCTAAGACACTAAACCAACTTATCATAATTGATGTCTTTCAGGCTCTAGATGATACAGAGCGTGGCGAAGGTGGCTTTGGTTCTACTGGAAAGAACTGAAAGTTATTTGAATATGCTTTCTATATTTTTTGTTCTGCTATTTCTAAATCTTCATTTGAAGTGGGATTTTGAAGTACGTTTTATTGACTTATATGTATCTGTCCTGTCTATTTTTACAGGCAGTGAATTCATCTGCGTTATGTGGAAATGTGCATTACTGACTTGATCGGTTAGTTGATGGATTATATTGTCTTTTTAGATGCTCGGTCCTCAGTAATAAAGAACTCATTGTTTATGTGCGGTTATACTCTAATAAATTCAAAATTAACTTAGTGATTTCATTTTATTTTATTTTACTCACCTAAACTAAAATGGCTGATTGTTTCCTTGCCAATTTGGGTTAATCTTCTGAAAGCTATCTTCCACGTATGTCAGTATTTCATGCTGAGAGCCTGTTTCATACAGAATCAGTAATAATACAGGTATCGATATGACTTCCCACTCTGACCTCTAAATCAGAATAAGGCAGAGACACTTAATATTGCATCTTCTACAGCCTGTCCAAATACCCGTGTTTCTGTTCAAAGCTAAAATTCTGTCTTTGATCCTTAGCTGATCCTCAAGCAGCCAATTTTTCAGCTCTCTATTAAAAGACCAGGCAATACAGTGTTTGAGCTAAATAACACAACTCATCTGGAAAACACTCCTGTATAGTAAGTAAATCCTATGAAATATGCTGTTGAAATACCTGTTGACAAATTCTTTAATAAGTTACTGTATGGAAGAAAGATTCTGAATTACTGAGGCAGTGCATGAATTGTTTTTTTCAGTTCTGTATTGACCAATTAACGTAGAACTCTTTTGGAATCTGTCCCAAACGGGATTGTTTCTTTAAGTTTGGGAATCTCTTAAAAGACTCAACATCTTTCAGGTGAAAGAACATGCACACAAGAGAAGGGACAAAAAGGAAAGAGAATAATTAGACGAGGCTGTGAGGCTCTCAGACATACTTTTTTTCCCTGCAGCTGTCTGTATTCTCTTTTTAGATTTTCTCAGCTGAAATGTCACAAGTATGAAATACTGTGCTTTAAGTAGTGTTTCAGCAATGGAAAGGTAGGCCCTCTTGTACACTAAGGTGTTTCACAGCATTCTTCTCCTTGGTAGTCTTGGATCATAATAATCTTGTTGGTATTAGTTTCATGTCCTTGTCTAGGACTGACCATTTCCAGTGAAGTAGGCCCAAAATACTGCACACTTTATACATTTTACCCCTTCTTCCCCAAGGAACTGGAAAATAAAGTGCAATATGACAGCATTCGGATACCTTCAACCATAGGGTAGTCATTACATTGACTTGGCAGTACTGAAACAATAAGTACATTCATCTTTGACTAGGGTAGAAGTCTTTCCCTCCATATGCGTTATATGCTTGTCGGTTTTTTGTTTTGTTTTGTTTTTCCCCTCCCTGCACCCTTATAACAACACTGTACTTACATCTGTGTACCCACACCTTCACAAGCAGGCTTACCATGCAAAAGCCTATTGTAAGCAAGAAGCACATCATACCAAGACGTCTTAAATGACTTGGAAATGCTGATCTTGACATGAAGTTTCTTCCGTTCTACAACGTGCCAAAAATTGCCAAAGGCTATTCAAAGGCCCTAAAATAGCTATGATCCTTTTGTGTAAAGCTGTTTCCTCTTGCTGGACTGTAAATTGAGAGCAAGTTTTACTGCTCCTCTTTTCTTCCCTCCCCACCCTCCAAAGCAAAAAAAACAGCAGGGGATACACTGGTGCAAGTCTTTTTTAAAAGATACTACAAGATGATCTTGCTTAGAACAGCAACCTACAAGGAAAAAGTTTTGCTGATATTTATCATTTCTTGGAAACTGATCTAATATCCATTTTTTTAAAGCAATACTAATAGTCCAGATTCTGAGATGAGAAGGAATAGTATTTGCTAGAAAAAGCACTCTCTCAGATGCCTGAGGAAGAAACATAAGTTTACAAATCCATGGCTGCTGTAAGTTGTCAACATACAGACCGTTATCTAAGTGTCATTACCAAAAAAGGGTCTCTTATTTTGAAAATTGATATAGTTGAGTTCCTTTTCATCGTTTCTCAATACTTTATCTAGAGAAGCACATAATGAGTTTAAGATTGCCGCGTGGTTCTTCCCAGTAGGTCCTTGTAAAAGTCTATCTATCTGAAACAACGGAAATGCTTCCAAGCTCACCTCTACACTGAGCCCCTCCCTGTGCATCAAACCATTGCACGAGGGTAATGCATTCTGATAATTCCTTTTACAATGTTGGGGTTTTGCTACAGTATGAGTAGCATATTTCCCCCCCTTTCTTTTTTTGGTAAGAAAGTACCACAATTTCATTAATATGAAAAGCAATACCCTCCAACTAATTTTAGTGTTCTCTTTTTCCATTATTACCACCTATGCTACAGAAGTATTTTATCTTGGTATCTGGTTCTGTTTTGAGATCTGATTTTCTAATTTGGACTGAAATATGTATGACAACTTGTATTTCCTTAACCAAGGCAGGAGCTGATGAGGGTCTTGAAGGAACAGGTGATCACTAGGCAATTCCTACCATTTGAACTCTCCACTTACAGAACAAAAGTCTTAAAAGAAAGATTATGGTAATGATACCATTGATCTTTAGGCCTTTTCTTGGTTCCCCAAAGTATTAACCTGCTCTTTAGTGGTTGTGAGTTTTGCACTGCTTCCTCAGTTCAGCTACAGCTACATTACTCTGTGGCATGTTCCTTTTCTGGATCTATTTAACGTTTTTTAGTAGATCAGCCACTAGATGGCACTTAAAGTTTGCTTTCTTTTCCACTTTTTTTTCCAGAGGTATTTTTCAAAGAACTGTTCATCTATAATTAAGAGTTGATGACTCCCATTGGGACTATGTTGGCGGAAAGCAAGATGCAGCAATATTTGAGTGAAAGCAGGCAAAAGTATAACCATTAAAGGGGGAACAATGACTATAATTTAAATAAGATTTGGGTGGTTGCAGTGTTTGCATAATCCCTCCTGGCATGCAAGAGCAGTAGAGAAGCCTGTGGCTTTGCTCTCCTGCTGTGTTTCAACAAAAATGGAAAATTGTAATGAACAGCAACATTTTTCCTATCTTTCATATTCACTCTTCTTACTCCCCCTTCCTCCATTCCTTTAAGTGGAACTTGAAGGACTGCATTGTAATGAAAGTAGCTTGGTAAACTGCATTGGAGTCTTCAAATCAGATGCCTCTTGCTGCAAGTTCAGGACATAAATTAAAACTTAATACGTGTTAACCCAGTAGCAGCAGGTGATATATACTAACCTGAATTACATGAATTTTATTAAGGTTCCCTAGTTTCTGTATTGGTTGCTACTCCTGTAATCACGCAGTCTAGTGCTCTTGTATTTGTTTGCCCTCCCTTCTCCCCCTTCTATTTTTTTTTTTTTTTTTAATAACTGTCATTGTACTTTGGCTTAAAGATGGTTAAATAAGTTTCGGTATTAAGTAAACTTCTATGACCCTGCCTATTTCCTGTCCTGTCAAACCTTTCCTTGTAAGAATAACAGTGTCCTTTTATTTGGTGGAGTGTAGCATGATGTTTTTGGCAGGCCCAACATTTTTGACTTGCATAAATTTGTGACCTCAAGTGCAAGAAAAGTGAATGCTTGCTTCAGTGCCTCATGGTTTCTGCCTAAAAAGAAAAGTGTCCACATCACTAACCATTACAATTTCTGAAGGAAAATTATCAGCACAGTTATTCCACCTGATTGCACATGACTGCACTTCCAAAGAAAAGAATCATAAATAAAAATAAGTATTTTGCACCTAGTTATGTAAGGTACCAAAAGTCTGAAAATATAGGGCAGACTGTACTGCCTTACGGGTTTCTAGAATTGGCGCACATGGCACTTCCCTCATGAACAGCTATTTGGCAATCTCTACCTCAGTAAGGATGCGATTCTGCAAAGTGTAAATTTGGGTCTGCTGCTGGGAAAAGAATGTCACATTGCATGGTTAAAGGTTGCAGGATCAGGTCTGAAGTGAATTAATGTAATTATTTTCCGAAACTTTCCCTCCATTAACTGTGTGGTTATTTAGCTCTCTACCACTGAAGTGATGCTTTTCCCCTACTCTGTTAGAACACAGCAAGAAAAACCTTTCACCCTGCCAAGTCTGAAAACCTGACAGATTTGTTTTATAATTCGAGAGCCCTCATCCAGAAAGTAACTACTGTATTTTAATATGTAAAATATGCTTAAATAAACATATGTGAGCTGTATGTGCACACTCACTTGTTTCCCCTTAGACTTTGATGTTTTTTTCATTATGTCACAAAAATGTAGTATTATTCATTGACTTTTTAGGAAACATTCATATAGTAAATTCTGTAACAGAAATAAGAGTTTTGTATCCATTAATATTGCCTGTAGCCTTAACATTTAAAGCTGATATCCTTGAACTGAAGAAAGTTATCTTTTGACGACTATTGATTACAGCAAAGGAATTTGTTTGGTTTTGTTTTGTAAAAGGAAAAAGAAAAAACAAACAGTCCTGAATGTAGTATCTTTGGCCAGATTCTTTTAACATGAGTATTTTGTGGTTTATGGATTCCTAGTCTGAAAGGTTGTCTCCAAGTGTCCAAGACAAAATAACTATGTGTCCTAGTTGGAAGAAGACTTCCCCTTTCCTTTGCAACTAAGCAGATTGTGCCATGTCTAGCGAGTGCAGCAGCGTGTAGTCTCCAATGCTGCCTTGCTAACGCATCTCAGTCCTCACCACAACCTTCCTGCTGCATTAGCTTGCTCTCTGGTCACTGCCCAGTTACCGGTACCTTCCTTAGGGTGCAGGACAGCATTAAGGAATGCTACTTGTCAGGTTTTCACAGCAGCAAACACAAAACGGCAGTCTCACTTTCCTACACTCCCATGTAAAGTAGAAGTTACTGCTGGCAGTGAAGCAAGCTGTCAGCATTACAGGTCATTCAAGCCATTTAAATTCTGCAAGAATAACTTCTTTTTTTTGTCCATCCTACCCTGTGACACT